TTGACCCTCTGGTAAGGATAATTTTAACCTCACAAATATTCCACCAACATTCCCAGGTTGGCTAATGCTTCTACATGAATCATTTCTCTTTTCCTTTAGAAATATTTTTAGGAAATATTTACACAAAAGATATAGTGTAGCCAGAAAAAAACCATGACAGAATGAGTAACATGAAAGAGAAACCAAGTATGAATATATCATGGAGAAACCTCATTTGTTGCACCTGCGGAAGAGAGAACAAGAATACCATTCATTTAAATAGAGTTGAAATCAGATATCGGCAAGTTGTTGGTATAAAACTACACTGCTCAAAAAAATAAAGGGAACACAAAAATAAGACATCCTACATCTGAATGAACGAAATATTCTTATTAAATACTGTGTTCATTACATAGTTGAATGTGTTGATAACAAAATCACACAAAAATTATCAATGGAAATCAAATTTAGCAACCCGTGGAGGTCTGGATTTGGAGTTACACTCAAAATTAAAGTGGAAAAAAACACTACAGGCTGATCCAACTTTGATGTAATGTCCTTAAAACAAGCCAAAATGAGGCTCAGTAGTGTGTGTGGCCTCCACATGCCTGTATGACCTCCCTACAACACCTGGGCATACTCCTGATGAGGTGGCGGATGGTCTCCTGAGGGATCTCCTGCCACACCTGGACTAAAGCATCCCCCAACTCTTGGACAGTCTGTGGTGCAACATGGCGTTGGTGGATGGAGCGAGACATGATGTCCCAGACGTGCTCAATTGGATTCAGGTCTGGGGAACAAGCGGGCCAGTCCATAGCATCAATGCCTTCGTCTTGCAGGAACTGCTGACACACTCCAGCCACATGAGGTCTAGCATTGTCTTGCATTAGGAGGAACTCAGGGCCAACCGCACCAGCATATGGTCTCACAAGGGGTCTGAGGATCTCATCTCGGTACCTAATGGCAGTCAGGCTACCTCTGGCAAGCACATGGAGGGCTGTGTGGCTCCCTAAAGAAATGCCACCCCACACCATTACTGACTCACTGCCAACTGGTCATGCTGGAGGATGTTGCAGGCAGCAGAATGTTCTCCACGGTGTCTCCAGACCCTGTCGCGTCTATCACATGTGCTCAGTGTGAACCTGCTTTCATCTGTGAAGAGCACAGGGCACCAGTGGCAAATTTGCTGATCTTGGTCTTCTCTGGCAAATGACAAACGTCCTGCACAATGTTAGGCTGTAAGCACAACCCCCACCTGTGGATGTCAGGCCCTCATACAACCCTCATGGAGTCTGTTTCTGATCATTTGAGCAGCCACAGGCACATTTGTGGTCTGCTGGAGGTCATTTTGCAGGGCTCTGGCAATGCTCCTCCTGTCCCTCCTTGCACAAAGGCGGAGGTAGCGCTCCTGATGCTGGGTTGTTGCCCTCCTATGGCCTCCTCCACGTCTCCTGATGTACTGGCCTGTCTACTGGTAGTGCCTCCATGCTCTGGACACTACGCTGACAGACACAGCAAACCTTCTTGCCACAGCTCGCATTGATGTGCCATCTTGGATGAGCTGCACTACCTGAGCCACTTGTGTGGGTTGTAGACTCCGTCTCATGCTACCACTAGAGTGACAGCACTGCCAGCATTCAAAAGTGACCAAACCATCAGCCAGAAAGCATAGGAACTGAGAAGTGGTCTGTGGTCACCACCTGCAGAACCACTCCTTTATTGGGGATGTCTTGCTAACTGCCTATGCTTTCCACCCGTTGTCTATTCCATTTGCACAACAGCATGTGAAATTGATTGTCAATCAGTGTTGCTACCTAAGTGGACAGTTTGATTTCACAGAAGTGTGGTTGACTTGGAGTTACATTGTGTTGTTTAAGTGTTCCCTTTATTTTTTTGAACAGTGTATGATGGGGGAGGGGGAGGACCCAGAAAAAGAAAGTTAACTGAAGAGTCATTAAGAGTCATTTTTGTCTATTTATATACACACATAGAAATATAACGAAGAGCATTAACGGTCCTGAAAGATGAAGGACCATTATTGAATAGTCACTTTGATTATTATTGAATAATCACTTTGCTCATTTTCTTATGCTGCAGTGGGTAGCTTGATTAAGAGCACTTATCCTTGCACGTTTCCCAGTCTGATATGCATGGTAATCTATCAAACAATGCCCATTTGACTTGACTTTATCCAATTGATTAGTTGCCCAGGAACTCAATGTGGACAAATCTGACCTCAAAAATAGCAATATCCAAAAAATGGGAGGGGGTTATACTTCTCTACCAAATCAACATGGCTACTTTTAAGAAAGAAATAGTGAAGATCCATTTCATAAAAAAACTATTGAATGCTTTTTCACAATATTTAACACCAATTCTCATAGATTACCAAGACATAGGGGAAAAAAAATCAAGGTCTTAATGTTTCAAGTGCTCCACTTGTTTTTTGTTTGTTTGCTTGCTTGCTTTTGTGTTTGCTGTGAAAGTCAAATAGCAATTGAAAATGTGTGTGTGTGTGTTTGTATTGGCTGGGGAATTCTCGGAGTTGAAGCCCACGCATCTTAAAACTGTCAAGGTTGAGAACATTGCTGTAGAAAGAGTGACAAGATGCAATTATTGCCTAATTCTCCAACAAACCCGTCACACCAAAGTAAATAAACCTGATTAGAGTCACAGTCTGAAAACATGTTATCTGCCAGAAAAACTGAGTCAACGAATTTTTTCAGATTCAGGAATCAAGATCTGATTCAATAGTCATACTGCAAAAGTGATCATGTGATGGGCAAATTAAAAAAAAAAAAAACCACCAACCCTATACTAGAGAAACTTGTAACACAGTACAAGAACCTGAGGGAAAATGAACCATAGAAAAAAATAAATGGGGTCCAAGAAAAGTGATAAGAAATTTGTCCAGCTAGGGTTGCTTCTCATTACATAATGCATTTCGGCTTATTTACATGAAATTCCTTCTTCCCTCAGCCAAATGTCCCTGTGGTCATGGAAGTCCCTTAGCCTCTGATGGGTTTCCCCAAGCAGGGGCCTTCCAAATGAGGTTTCAACTCACACCACCCTCAACCGGCAACCGTAAACTTGGCTCTCAGTGGCGGACATTGGCACCTAGCACTCTGGAAAACCACAGGGAAAGTCCCTTAGATTACACTGAATCATTCGCCACAACTGTACACAAGGATTTACACTGAATTTCCTGTAACAGTATAGCTCCACCATGTGGCAAACCTATGCAAGGCAAAAATGAAAAGTACACGGTAGGATGCTCCTGTGGTTCTCCATAATTGGCAGATAGCAACCCCCTCCTCAAAGCTTTTCTGATTTAGAGTCTTTCAATGGCAATGCAGGGAAGAGGCATTGGGGCTGAAAGCTGGGCTTAGGGTGGATTGTTTCAGGTTTTAAAAGGTCACTGCTCATATCCCAACCCAAACTTCCTTTTTCAGTGATGGAACTTATCTGACAATTTAACTGGGCTTCATGTTTAATATTTGTATGTGCCCTGAGACCATCAGACAATCAGGAATGGCAAACCCGCCCCCGTCCTATTTTGGAACTACTTAATTGGGCAGCACAAATGTTCAATGTTTAAGAGCCGAAAATAAAGGCTATGAAACATGTTTGTTTATCCATTTATCACATTTCTATACCACCCATCTCACCTAAGTGATTCTGGTGGGGTTTACAAACTGTAACGATGTTGAGCTTCTGTTAGGATTTGCTCTCCTGCTTTGCCTTAAAGCATGGGTATCCAACCTTGGCATCTTTAAGACTTATGGACTCCAACTCCCAGAATTCCCCAACCAGCATGGTTGCCAAGGTTGGACATCCTTGCCTTAAATATAGAAAATGTAAAAAAAAAAAAAACACGCCCACCTGGAGATTTCATCCCATCATTGGTGTTCCATTGATCCTCGAGGTAACACTCTGGCCTTCAATGATTTAAAACAGGGATCCCCAACCCCCAGGTATAGAGTCCCCAGGTATAGGGCCATGGCCCATTCGGAACCGGGCTGTGCAAGCAGTGGGGGAGCAGGCACATTATGTGAGCAGTGGGCACGCATGTAAATGGGGTTGCACAGCCTCATAGGGGTTGCACACCTGCTGCTCACACAGAACCATCACCCCTCCCCCTCCCCCACCAGTCCACCACTGATTTAAAAGTATCAAGGAAACTTCCTCCCTGGCTAAGAGATTTGTCCTAGATTGGCCTGACCAAACCGCTTTCCTCTTCTCCAGGGGACACACCTCACAAGCCTCCCATTGTAAAAAGAAGTCGGCATCACCGATACATTTCTGCAATTTGAGTAAGCCTTTTTTTTTTCAAGCAGAGCCTTCAGTTGCAAAGAACAGTACAGACGTTGACAAGTCTTTTAAAATACAGTTGTTTTATTGATAGAAGCAAAATGAAAAAAACAAAAACCTATCCATAAATGGCAGACAATTTAAAAATAGGTAGTCATAATTTCTACTTTCACTTCTCTGGTATTTGCATAAGATTGCATCCAAGGGCTAAGGTTACTTCAATGAAAGTTGTGAAATTTTGTAAACTTTCCTTATAAATTAACACAGGACATCCTGTATGAGCTGCAGCAGAGCAAAAGCAGAGCAAAAGGGAGAAGGACAAAGTAGATCTGTTTAGAAAATGTAGACAATCTCAATTTTATAATATATTGACTTTAGAAGTCTAAATCCAATAGGGAATTAAAATGTGCTATTTGTGTTAATTTGCATACATTATTCAAATTTTGATAACTCTGGGGAAGACTAAAGAATCGTACCTGCAGTCACTGGATCTGCAGTCACATTCTGAGATTTCAGCAGATCTCATCCATATAATCATATATATATGCTATTGTATGTGTGTGTGTGTGTTTTCTTAAGTTTTCGCAGGTATTTATATGTATGGTATTCAGCTTTGTTCGGGTATTTTCCCACGTCATTGTAGTTGTGCTTTTAAAGTTGTAGCAATGTTTCGGCAGAATCTCATCTGCCATCATCAAGCTTCTGTATTATATATATAATGATGCTCAGCTCTAAGAACTGGAAACATTTTTCCCTATTTCCAACTCAGGTAATGCACTCAGGTAGCTGAATCTCCTATCTGATACAGGTATCTTGCTTTGGTTTGGCACATGTTGCAGTTCCTATAACAGTCCTCAGCGGCTCAGAGGAACTTTTTCTTGTTTCAGCAGCGGCTGAATGTAGATCAGGCACCATGGAGGAGATTATCCAAATTCTGCCTCTGTTGCTGTGTAGACTTGGGAATGAGAACTAGGATTCCTTCTCATTCTGGCTTCTGCTGTAGCTCAAAAGGGATCCCCTGCAAATTCTGCCTCTTCATCCCAAAGGAATCCTGATCTGTCCTCTCTTAAAGTGGTCGTTTTCGGCAAAAGTAAAAGACTCCACCAATGATAATTAAGCCCAATACTAACATTGTTATCACCGGGGCTATAACCCAGTTGCGAGACTTCCCTGCAATAGAACAGAAGAGATGGCTTGGAACTTGTTATAAAAGAGCTCGCCAACTTGCTGCACATGTGTAATTGCGCTTTGCTATTTTGTTGATATTTTTCTAACCAATTCAACCAAAACCCCATTTAATTCTTTGACTGAGGAAACCACAGAGTTGATGAGATTGCTATCTCCAACTTCTGTGGTAATATTTCTCCTGCTCCTCTTCAGAATTTCTCTCTCTCTCTCTCTCTCTCTCACACACACACACATACACTCACACACACAAACACAAACATACACACGCACACACAAAATTGTCTCCCCCATCTATAAATTTGTAAGTCAAATGTTTAGTTGAAAATATTAAACATGGATATAAATAAATATAAGAAGGAAAAATGTGCAAATCTGAAAATAAAAACGTTCATCTTACCTTCAAAGACAATGTCAATCTGTGCTGAATTCTTGCCATAAACATTACGTATTAGGCAACGATAAGTCCCATTGTGGAATTCCTTTGCTGACGTAATTGTTACAGTCTTGTTGCTATTTGAGAATTCCACATTAACTTTGGAGGGAAGTTCCCAGGAATATTCTGGATTGGGTTTTCCTTTAGCATTACATGTCACCATAATTTTTGTATCCACTTTATAAGTCCCATGAGTGGCCAATATGCTGACATTATAAGGGCTAGCTGAAAAAAGGAATAAACAAGGTGAGTCTGAGTCCTGCCTACCATTTCATGTAGAGCATTGATTGACAGCCCAGAAATGCAAAAAAGCAAAACTGGTCCATTTCTCTGTCCATTCTTCAGGCACCAATTTCCTATCAGGTATTTTGTGTTATTTTCTGTCAATAAGGATTTGTCATTAAAAATCTGTGGAATGAACACTAGACTGTTTAGTAAAGGGTATATACTATAGATGCAAAGAATAGCTGAGAACGCTATTTACATTCACTGTGGAATTCCCCATATGCTCACAGTATGCTTCTCTCACAGCATGTCATGAACTGATCATATAATTGCTTTGTTCCATGATCAGTTCATGAAGCACGTTAGGACAGACAGAAACATGGGCTGCTGGAGGAGGCATTTTTATAATGAAAGAAGTAGAGGAAAATGAACACTAGCCAGACTTCAATACTAATAGCGTTTCTTCTGCTAAGGAACTTTGGATAGTGAGAATCCCAAGTTCATAAAAAAATAACTGTAAGATGTTACACTCGAAAAACAACTCTAGTAATAGATGACAGGCCAGAAGATCTATGCAGTGTAGCACTACTCTTACCCAGTCATTAGGGAAAGTGATGTGTACTAGAACGTATCCAAAGCAAAACATTTGGGTGTGTTCCTAAGAGCATTGGACAAAAGAACCCCTAGCTTTGACGTAAAGTGCAAGCATGGAGCAACTATAAAGCTGGCTTCTTGTTCTCTGTACCAAATTATACTAATCAAATGGAAGAGAAGATTGCCATTCTATGTATACTTAAACACTTTCTACAGAAACCTACAGTGCTTCTGAAATCTTCACACTCACTTATCCGATCAGCAATGAGACAAAAATTATTTTCCTGCCACAAGGAAATAGCCTTCACCATTCTTTGTGAGAAGGAAGGGCAAGAAAGGTGGGTTTGATGTGATTGCTTAAATCCTGCTCTCACTATCAAGGACAAGTCCTAGATTTTCAAAAGCTAGAATAAATTGACAGAGAGAAACAAGACATCTAATAACAAATAACTACCCCTAGACTGAAGGGGAAAAAAATAGTTCACCTGTCATGAAAAATAAATGCAACTTACCCACAACTTTCAGTGTTTGATTTGCATTTTTTCTCAGCACTTGTGAACCCAACAGGAGGATGGCCTCACAGAGGATCTCAGCCCCGTCATCCTGCTCTACATTAGGCACAAAATTGTACTCCACTGATGGTTTTCCATGGCTGCTGTTCAGGATATTACCACCTCTGCTCAGAGAAATGTTGCTGTGAGTTGGGAGGGAGCCCCTCACCTTCAGGCTAGAAATGTTGCACACGATTTTTTCCAAGTGACCACTCAGAACTTCAGAAACTGGATATATAACTGGCGTAGAGAATTCTAGATTTGGAATGACAAAAGATAACTATGACCAGTAGTTGGAAAGATAAGTTAGCGCTTCAAAGAGCTAGGCAATCTTGGCCTCCTGGAGACAGTAATACTATCAAGAATTATATGTGGTTGTTAGCATTAACATGTCGTTTCCAGACATTGTAAAAGCCTAGTACTGATGATGTTACCTAGTTAGGTAATGAAGCGTCTGCAAAAAAACAAGCAAGCTCAAAGAGCACCAAGGACCCTTCGTTGTAAAAGCTTCCCTTGATTATCTAATGGAAGAGTTATGGAGGAACCCATGATGTGCAAAATCTAAAGTGGAGAAACTTATTCAGCCTCCTAAATTAGCACCAAGCATGATCCTTGGGTTTTATCTCATCAAGCCATTGCAATAACCAGTGGACCATGCTGCCAGATCACACCTGTTTTTCCTTGCACTCATCATTGCTCAAAGGACCATATCCTATTCTTCTGTAACCCAGGAGGTGGCCACCCAGATCCCTGAAATGCCCTTTTGTATCCCTTCGTTACTGTGTGCTATAAAAGGGATGGCATGTTGGTTTGGTACCAACATTTAAGGGCAAAATGTTTTTTTAAAGTATGGCATTTTTTAATTTTAATTTTCAAATTTAATAAATGGGCATGAAAGAGAAGAGAGATACTATAGTACCATATTTAATAGGGATTTCTCCTCCTAACTAATCTCCTATTTTCTTGGACCCAGCTCGCTTTCTTCTCTGCGATTCCTTGGCATGTTGTTATTTAGGGCCAACATGTGTCGACTCATAGAAATAAGGTTAGCCACTTCTCTCATAAGCCACCTCAGCTAATGTGAGCCTTTCCAAGTTATGAACCAGGAAGCAAATTCCACAAGAAGACTAGAACTCAGTTTTATTGAGATTGGCTACATTAACAGAATCTTGCTGTTAAGTTTGGGTAATGAGAGGCTGAACCAGAGCATGAGTGCAACAAATACTTTATTGTGATAATAAAGGACTGAACGTGCTAGCCAAGCCTGGAACTGGCTCGCAGCGATCAGCAACTGGTTGGACCCCGCAGCCTGCTTTTATAGCTGGCTGCTGGGGAGAACCAACCAATGAGCGAGGGGGCAGCCGCCCCCGCAACGCGAACGGACCTGAGTGGGAACTCCTTAGAGTTCCAGGGACATAACACCCCTTTCCCCCAGATGCGAACACGCATTGTCTTTGAGGTAGGCAGGAGGTTTATGCTGGCGCCCAGAACGGCGCAACTCGGGTGGGTTGTCTGTCAGTTCAGAGTCTGTAGGGAGTCACGAACGCGTCCTTCGGTTCGGGTTGGCTCGGGACTCGTAGGGCTGGTCACTGGGGACGTGCTTCCGTTGACTGGTTCGGACTGGTCAGCCATCTGGACGTCGCTGTCCGTGTTTGGATTCCCTGGATCGGCTGCTGGTGTAAGCAGGTCACCGGAATTGGTGCTGATGTGGGGTTGATGCTGTGGCCTTGCCTCGGTCTGTAATTCTGAGTCACTGCTGACGAGGGTGCTGTGACGCCTTCCTCTATGACCACCTCCTCGGAGTGGACTGGAACTGTCGTTAGCTTGGAAGTAGGACCATGGATTTCGGTGGCTGAGTGTGCTGCCAGTTCTGCTGCCAGGGCCTCCTCGACGGCTTGTGCGAGGTTGAGGTCCTTCTTAGCGAGTAGGTGCCTTTGGAGGTGGAGATCCTTGACTCCGCAGACTAGCTGATCGAGGAGCATGTCCTCCAGGTAGGTTCCAAACCCACAATGGAGTGCTGCGGTCCTGAGGGCGGCCATGTACTGGTTGATGGTCTCTTTGTCTGATTGTTTCCTCATACGGAAGGTGAATCGCCTGGCAATCTGTGAAGGTCTGGGAGAATAGTGGTTAGTAAGGATTTCTAACAGTTCAGACCATGGAACGTTTTTTTAACTCACGTGGAGCCACGAGTGCTGTGGCAGTGTCAAAGACGATGGCTCCACAGTAGATCAGGAAATATGATTTTTTCCGGTGCTCCCCTGCATCAGCCAGCCCAATTGCGTCGATGTAATGGTTAAAGCGGTTCTTGTATGACTCCCACTTCTCCTCATCCGGCTTGAACGCTGGGAAGACTGGATTGGAATTCATAGTGAGGAAATCGGTTGTACAATCTGTTGGGAAAAATCTCTCTGGGGCAGCAGCAGAAGGTTTCTAGTGCCTGTGGCAGGCAAGTGATTTCAGCTCTGGAGAGGCTTTTCACAATCCTCTCTCTCTCTGGGCTAAACACGAGGTTAGGCTGCCGGCCGTTGGCAGCGTTTTGAAATTCGCGCCTGCGTGGGCGTCAGTGACTTGACTTACAGCACCGCACTGTACTTTTAGGGCAGAAATTCAAATGACAGCCGTTTGAATTTCGCGCCTAAAGAAACGAGCGGCTGCGGCTCGCAGCGCTTCACTTTCCCTGTAGCTAGGCTAACAAGCGGCTACAGACGCTTCTCACTTTCGTTGCTTGCTGACCGCTTTCTCTGGCTGCGGATCAGCGTTCGCTCTCATTGCTTGCTGACCGCTTTCTCTGGCTGCGGATCAGCGTTCGCTCTCGTTGCTTGCTGACCGCTCTCTCTGGCTGCGGATCAGCGTTTGCTCTTATCGCCTGCCGATCGTTCTCTCTGGCTACGGATCGGTGGCTAGTGATTCAGCGGTTGCATTGTGCTTCTGGTAGCCATCCCACCTTCGTCGCCAGTGTTAAGTTTGGGTAATGAGAGGCTGAACCAGAGCATGAGTGCAACAAATACTTTATTGTGATAATAAAGGACTGAACGTGCTAGCCAAGCCTGGAACTGGCTCGCAGCGATCAGCAACTGGTTGGACCCCGCAGCCTGCTTTTATAGCTGGCTGCTGGGGAGAACCAACCAATGAGCGAGGGGGCAGCCGCCCCCGCAACGCGAACGGACCTGAGTGGGAACTCCTTAAAGTTCCAGGGACATAACACTTGCAAGTCTGATTGTTTTCTTCTTTCTTTCCCTGTTCCACCCCAGTGAGTCAGAGAGAAGCCAGCTTGAGTCTCTTTCTAACACTACCTCCCTTCCTGGGACTCAAGAAAACTTCTGCCCTTCTTTATCGTTGTGATCGCTTCTGGATATTTCTCCCAAGGCTATCTCCATGACTCTCTATGGCTACGAGAATATCAGTGTATCATGAATGGCAAAAAGAAAGGTAGCATTTTCCACATCAGAATATCAGTCACATACTCCTCAGTTACATATGACATCTTGAATTTGATGCAAGAAAAAGCAGGCTGTACAGAGGAGATGCTTCGTAGTGCGTAAAACTGAAAAGAAACACTAACAGCTGAACACGAGAATTAAAAATGGAAATGGTGGACATTTCGTAGTAGTTGTACTGTTTGGGGAGGTTTTTTTTTTACTTGTAAGCTGCCCAGAGGATGGGCAGACATGTAAATTTAGATGAACAAATGATCATGACCTGTCTTCCTATTATATTTTTCCCCAGACTGCACCCTGTAAAATTCAACCATTTGCAAAAGGAGTTATAGAATCACACGTAGTAAGAAATCCTGCTCTTGAATAGGTAGGATCATGTGCATATGTGTGTGTGTGTGTGTGTGTGTGTGTGTGTGCTTGTGGAGGGGAGGAAGAAAACTAAAAAAAATGTTAATTTATTTTTTGATGTATCTTGATACTGTGACTGGATCAGTTTCATTTAGTATGAGGAGAATTAAATATTTTCTCCCAAACCATTTAATGGTGACTATGGCAGTTGTACCAAGATTTGATCTGAAGAGTAATATTATTAGGAGAAACAAAGCATGCTTGCATGTGGACTCCCTTAGTCTTGGAACAATGGAAACAAACTGGCCATTGTCATGGAGGCCTTAGGTCAGCTGCAAGAGTGGGAAGATGTGCCCCAGATATATGTGGCAATACATCTTTTTGAGCATGGTCCATTTGGAAAGCAGGCAGTATATCATAGGCATCCTCACAATTCGTGACTGTTATGATAGAGGGGGACCTGCTTCTCCACAAAATAGACTCCAGCTAATGCCCACTGTAAAACCACCTCTTTACTAAAAATCAAAGTGGAAAGTTGCTTCCTCATATCTGTTCTTCACCCAGCATGCTCTCAATCACCCCAGATTATTATTATTATTATTATTATTATTATTATTATTATTATTATTATTATTATT